CATTCCCCTTTTTATGGCCATATTTTCTAATTTCCCTTTGGAAAACATATGGTTTGGATGGACCTGAATCTTGTACAAGTCTAGTACTAAGCCTCATTCCTTCAGGAACTAGACCCAAACTAAGCCAGTTAGAGAGACACAAATCCTAGGCTTTTGACTGAACTTAGGGGAAAGGGATTTTCTCATTTGAACTTGAGGCTATCAGGTGATCATCTTGGTGTCACATATGAAAAACTTGCTAAGAGTGAAAAGATGAAACCATTATGTAAGAGATGAAATAAAGTCTGAGTCTCTAAAGTCAGTACTACCCTGGACTTTACAGTTCTGTAAGCCAATATTTCCTTTTTTTCTCTTTCTTTCTTTCTTTTTCTTTTCTTTTCTTTTCTTTTCTTTTCTTTTCTTTTCTTTCTTTCTCTCTCTCTCTCTCTCTCTCTCTCTCTCTCTCTTTTTTTGCTAATTCCAAGTTGAGGTTAGGTCACTTGCCACCAAAAGAATGCTGATTAACACTTACGTCTTTTAGTCGATTGAGTTTTCTTTACTAATTTTTTCCACTTAATTGTCTTTTTCTAAAAATTGATTAGAAGGTTTTCCGTTTCATTTTTACTCTTAGTGATTGACCTTACATTTTTAACACACATACTTTAACTCTAGTCATTGTTAGAGAAATATAAATTATCGGTATCAGTATTCTTCACTCTAATAAAGATTCATAGTATATCACCCTGACTTCCTTTCACTCTTAACAGTATATCTGTGAACAATATTTATTTGGTTCTAAGAATACATTTTCCTAATTTTGTTGCTCATGATTACTTCTTACATTCCACTTGTTTTCTCTACACTCCATTTACCTTCTTGTTGAAGAATATTCCTTAATACTTCTTTTAGAGATAGTCTGTGGATGGTAAACTTTTTGCACAACTGCATGTCTGAAAATGTATTTATTGGGCCATCACATATAAATAGGGATAGAATTCTAGATTCAAAGCTTTTTTTTTTTTGCAGTATTTGAATGATGTTGTTCCATTTCTTTTTCCATTCACTTTGTGGATAATCTGTTTTTTGTCTCTGGTAGATTTTTAGTTCTTCCTTTTTTATGTTCTGAAATTTCACTCTAGTACAGGCAAACTACAGTCTGTGGAACAAATCTCTCTGTCCACCTTTTTTGGGTATAGCCCAGTGAACTAAGGTTTTGCTTTTTTAAAATTGAAAAAAAAATCAAAAGAAGAATACTTCATGACATGTGAAAATGACAGGAAGTTTATATCTCAGGGTGCATTAGTAAAATTTTATTGGCAAACAGCCACATTCATTTGCTTACATATTATCTAAGGCTACTGTCACACCACAATGCCAGAGCTAAACAGTTGTGACAGAACTGTGAAACCTAAAATACTCACTACCTGGTCAGAAAAATTTGCTGATTCCTGTGTATATTTATTTTTTTAAATGGCTAGAATTCTGGGAATTACCTGGCTTTTATTTCTACTGGTTTCTGCAAGGATTTCTTACTCCAGTATCATAATCAACTTCCCAAATCAAAACATTTTTAGCTGTGCCTTTTATTATTCAGCCCAGTGACTGTGTTTTCATAAAAAATTTTTTTCTTTTAATTACTGGTCAGTCTCATTTCAGGAATACAACATTCTCTTACCTCTCTAAAAATGGTAAATATAATGAACTTGAGGTCTTGTTGTGACTGCTATAGTGGGTTTCCTTCCAAGGGTGGAAGTTCTTCCATTTATTGAGTATTTTATTGATATTTGCAACTGTTTTTATTTGTCCACTTTTCTGTGTAGTTGGAAACAGACTTCTGCCTCTGTTTGTATTGGTTGTTTAGGAGGGGGCAATGTGAGGTTACTACTATTTTCAATGAGAATGAAAGGATGGATGGGCCATGCTGCTGGTGTGGATATTTTGGTGGTCTTGCTTTCTCTGCTCCAAGATCCCACTTTATCACTTTTTGTCTTTCCTTTAGGGATAGGAGAGATCTATAAAGGTTTGACCTACCTGGATGCTGCTTTTTCCGGTCTCCCTCTGCTCTTGGTTTCAGTCAAATTCAGGTATAGATCACCCTTGAGTGCTGTTTCTTTTATTTGTAGCAATTATCTTCTCTATCCTCCTGCATAGAACCTAAGTTCTGTTTACTCTTCAATCTGATCCCATCTGTTTACCTTCTTTCAGCCCACTGAAAATTTCTCTTCGTAAGTGGTACTCTGTATTTATTTTTAAATGGTGTGAGAGACTAAAACTATAGTATGCTTTCACATTGCCTCCTTAAATGAGAAGCTGGTCTGAACTGTAGTTACTATTTAGAAGTCCATTGTAGTTTTTGTTTGTAGCTTAATATTTATTTTATACATGGTCTTTGGACAAACCCACAAAGGTGTTTTATCTATTTTTCAGGGAATATTTTACTATGGCTGCAAATAATAGGCTCCAATTTCTTTTATTTTCTTTTTGAAGTTTTTGCTTCAAAAATCTGCTATCAGATGCATAGCTTTTTTTGAGTATTCATTCTTTTTTAATTCAACCTTTGTTGTCATTCCAAAATGGAATCTTTTAAATAAGTGAGTTTATTCCTTTTACGTTCAGTGATCTAAAAATACTTGCCTTAGTTCTGTCATCTTTATGCTTTGTGGTCTGTGTTTTTCTTTCATGTGTATGTTTTCTGATTGAATTAGAACACTTAGAGTCTGGCTTTGGTTTTTCAAGTGTTTAATTGGTATTCCTAAACCCTCAATTTGACTTACAGCTTTAAAGGATATCTATGGAGGTCCTGCTAACAAAATTTCCACACAAGTTTTCTTTCTCCTCTTTACCTCCCATTTTCAGTTAAGTTGTTACTTCTAGAATGTTTTACATATATTTCTTCCTCTTCTCTACATTCCAGTTTTATATTTTTTTTTCCCAGAATATTGTGTTCTAATCTCTATGCTTTCTACATTTGAATGGATTGAATACTATCATTTCTTTTCCATAGTGGTTGTTCCATTTCCGGGCTCTTTATCTGGGTTTGGTTTGTTCTTGGTTTTATGATTATGTCCTTTTTAAAGAAGAGCTCATGGGTGCTATAGTCCCTTTAGTTCTTACATGTTTGAAAGTACCATTTGTGTTTTCATGCTTGAATGTCATCTTGAGTTAGTACAAAATGTGGGGTTATATGGACACCTGGGTGGCTCAGTCAGTTACGCTTCTGCCTTTGGCTCAGGTCATGATCTTGGAGTCCTGGGATCAAGCCCCAGGTTTACCTCCCTGCTTGGCATGTGGTTTGCTTCTCCCTCTGTTGCTCCCCCTGCTTATTCTCTCTCTCTCTCAAATAAATACAATCTTTAAAAAATTTTTTGGGGGTTATAGAATGTCTTTCTCTGAGAAGGTTGTAAATGTTGTTTCATGGTCTTCCAGTATTCATTTTTACTATGGAGGTATCTGAGGCAAGAGTGATTCCCTGCCTCATCTGATGACTTGAAATTTTTAAAAATGGAAAAAAAAAAAAAACCTGAATTTTTATTTATCTTTGAATTCTGGGGAATAGATGGGGAAGGAATCATTATCAGAGTTTTCTGGATATGGTGTGCTTCTGACCTTTCAGATTACAAGTCTTGTTTTATTTTTAAAAAAGCTTTTTATTATTTTAGAATTTGCTCTGTTGTCTAATATATATAAGTTAGACCCCTGTTGTTTTCTTTACATATACCTAATTTCATTTAGGTTTAACTGTTACACAAAAAATTGTATGCATTTAATGAATACATCTTGCTCAGTTTGACATATGCATGTACCTGTGATAACCACAACTAAAGAACCAAACATACCCATCACCTCCAAAAATTTCCCTGTATTCTTGTGTGTATTTTGTAGGAAGACTTAACACGAGCTTTATCTTCTTAACATTTTGAAATGCGTAATACCACATTTTTAACTGTAGGTACAAAGCTGTACAGCAGATCTCTAGAACTTATTCATCTTGTGTAACAGAAACTTTATACAAGTGTGGAAAAGCTAGGTACCAAACAGTGAATGCAATATGCTAAATATTTATAAGGGAAAAAAGAAATGTAAGAATGTATATGTATATTTATTTATTTTTTTAAATATAGGCTCTCTAATGTGGGGCTTGAACTCATGACCCTGAGACTGACACCTAAGCTGAGATCAAGAGTTGAATGCTTAACTGACTGAGCCGTCAAGGGACCCCGTATTTGCTTTTTTATTTATACAAATGTATATGCATATATGTGTGTGTATGTGTGTGTATGAAATAGAGTGGGACAGAAAGTATCCTTCGAAGGGTACATAAGAAAAGGACCACAGTGATTGCTTCTGGGAAGGAAAACTGGGCAGCAAGAAACTTTACTATTTATCCTTTTGTTTCTTTGAATATTAAAACATATGAATGGATTACTTACTCAAATAATGTATTACATTAATAATAAGGATTTATTAGGAGCCTTAGAGGAACTGCTAAAGGAATCCCGAGAACAAGATGGAAAAAGCCAACAAATTATAAAGTTGCTGAAATGTACTACGCAGTGAAAGTCTTGGATAATTTCTTACTATGGTCCTTTATAGAATTATACCCTATTATAAATTCCATGTAGAACTAACTTCTAGTTTAGGGTTGAATGCATAAAACCATATATGGTAAATACTTGTTTCAAACATGATCATCTTTATTATTTGAAAAAACTTCAGTTGTTTTAGCCTCATCCTGTATTTATAGGGCTTGTAGTACAACTCCACAATGATCTTAGCTTCACTGAAAGTACTACTCCTTGAAAGGAAATGGGACATGTGAAGAGTTTTCAGGAAATTAGTGAAGAGGGGAAGAGACGACTGCTGGGAAAAATATTCTTTCAACTAAAGTTGGTTATAACCACTCATTTTTATCATATTCAAAAATAGGGATTACTAGTTTGATTTTTTAAGGTGGTTTTAATATTCCTGATATGGTTATCCCTGTTAAAAAAGTTCTACAAGACCCAGGGAGACTCACTCACCCTTCCTGGAACTGTGCTTGGGCAGATTCCTCTGCAACAAGGGTCTCATATTCCTCAGCTGCAAACCTGTCCCAGTCAGAAGGCTCAGGCCCCTCATTCTCAACATCCTGATTGCAAAGAGGACAGGAAACAAAAATAATCAAAGACAAAGAATTAGAGATAGATTTTCTTTACATATATACATCATTTGTGATGATCTACCTGAAAATGTTTCATCTTAACGTGTTAAAAGACGTGAATTAAAGTAACACTCCTAACGTGATTTCTGTGCCTCCAATCACAAAATTATAGTGAATTCTCAGCAGCTAATTCTTTAGGTCTAGATTCTTTTGCCTTATAATCAGAGACCTTTCCCGAGGCCCTTCTCCCTAGCACTTTGCACAGCAGCTATCTGGAGTGACTTGTGGTTTTTGCATATGCCTACCTGAAATACACCATCCCTTCCTCCGGCACATTTTTATTGCTTCTGTAAAAGCCAGCTCAGATACCATGTCATCTGTGCTATCTTCCTGGAAACAGCCCTTCTTCCCCAAATCATTTCTGTGCTAAACTGTATATGCTTGATTGCTACTTTTTGTTCTTTTTTACCTCTATTTGACCATATGTCTCTCCAACACACTGTCTGGAATTTATTGAGCACTTTCTGAGTAAAAATGTTCTTTGCAGATCAGAACAAATCTTGATATACTGTCACATCTTATAAAGTAAAATTTATAACACAAATAGAAGAAATGAAGGGGGAAAAGGCTATACATTTTCTTTTCCTTCTACAATATGGACATTATCTTGGATTACATATTCCAGGTAAAATGTTTTTCTATGATTAAAATTAGCACTGCCTTCAGATGTAAGGTTAATTATGCCTAGAAGAATGCAAATACCTAAATATTGACCATACTATGTGTTATGATATTTAATCCACTTTAAGAACACCTACCTACCACATCCTCTTAACATCTTTGAAGCTGGCACACATCTTAGATTTACAATGGCAATTTTGTTTGTTTAAAAGTATATAAGATAATGGGCACCTTTGAGTCAATGAAACATAATTCTGTCTTTAAGCTAGTGATAATGTGCCTTGATATGCTCCAAGATAAGGTGCAGTTTTTGTTTTTAGAGGCAATCTTTGTATTCTTACTGCTACTTAGGTAAACATGTAGAAGAAAAAGAAAAGACGGTGCAAGTTTCCTGCAGTTGTACTCCTATAGGACCAGTGGAAACAGTCCTTTTCTATCAACATCATTTTTACTTTTTAAACAAGGGAATAGAAGGGAAGTGTTGATATTCTGCCCCCAACTCCTTTCTGGACCCAGACCATATGATGTTCAGGGTTTTTTGAAGGTCCCTAGACTTTTGTGTATGGGGAAGGGTACTCATCTCTATTCAGGTATAAAATGACTTCACAGTGATAGTCATGCACAACAATCATTAACATTTGAAAAAATGTTATATTATCTGAGGGTTGTCTATCATGGAGAATGTCTAGTTTTCATTATGATGGGGAAAGTTGTTTACCATGTCATCCTGGAAATGAATGGTACAGTTAACCCCAATATGCTTTCTAATACAGATATGCCTACTGATACAGGGTTTAAAAAATGGAAGGACAAATTTTTTTCAAAACTTTTTTAAGTAGTTTCTAAAATATATATAAGAACACAGACCATACAATTCACAATGATAGGCATATGAAGGTTACCTAAATCTGAATATTAGCTGTGGGGAAGAGATGTGCTTTAGGTCCATTTTTCTCTTTTCAGTATGTGATGAAATGTTTTAAATGTTACTTCTAAAAATACAAGACTCCTATAGGTAGAGATCATTTTTATCTGTAGCACACAACCCCTGATACTGCAGCCCTCATATAGAAGTTAAAACCAGTACCTTCTGGACCGCAAAGGGATCTCTCTGTTCATGGTCTAAGTACTTCTCCAGATTAAAGAAAGTGTCATAAAAGATGTGTGCCATTCTGCATCTCTTCAGATCTCGTAGCGTTATTTTCCCTATGTAAAAATAAATTACTAAATTTCAAGAAATGTTTTTTGGCAAATGAAAAAATCTTTTACTGAAGTTTAAAAGTATATGTATATGCTAATTTTATTATACAAGAACCCATTTTTTTGAGGTAAAACTGACATAAAATTCACCATTTTAACCATTTTAGTGTGTAATTCCGTGGCTTTTAGTACATCCACAATGTTGTGAAACCATCACTACTATTGAGCTCCATAATATTTCTTCACCTCAAAAGGAAACTCATCAAGCCGACCTTCCACAGCTCCTCTTATCCTGAGCTCTGGGCAATCAGTAATCGGCTTTCTGTTTCTGTGGACAACTTTTTTTTTTTTAAAGATATACTTATTTATTTGAGAGTGCAGTGGGCCAGGGCACAGGGAGGAGAGAGAGAATCTCAAACAGACTCCCCTCTGAGCATGAAGCCCCAGGTGGGGCTTGATCTGACCTTGAGATCATGACCTGAGCTGAAATCAAGAGCTGAATGCTTAACTGACTGAGGTACCAAGGCACCCCTCTATGGAAAAACTGCTTAAGTAGGATTTGCCCTCAGTTGTTGGTTCCACACTAAAAAGAGAAATTTAAATATTTCTGTACTGGGGAAGTCAGTATGGAAGACTCTGGAAGTTAAATAATTTAGGACAATCCAGGATTAAATGCCCCACTCTGTTACATAGGTGAAAAGTGCAAGTGGCCTTTTACTCAATCTTACCATCAATGGCTGGCTTCACCAGGTCAAGCATCTGACACAGCAAATCATGGAATGGCAATGGCTCAATGCCCATGGCTTCCATCCGTTCGCACTGCTCCTCATAGAAGTACTCTAACTCGTACATGGAGAGAATACCATCCCCATCCACATCCATGCAGCGGAACCAATACTCAATGCTAGGACATAAAGACACTGGTTATTTTATTTTTTTATCTTTATATTTTCAGATAAGATGCCTATATTACTCCTTCCTTACATTTCAGTTTTAAGAACTGTATATTAATTTCACACTATGAAAGATGAAATTCTAGCTCTTTTACCTCTCATTCCACTTTACCTACATGCCCTTCTGGACCTCTTAAAATACCCAACATTCAGAGTTTATAACTTTTTTTTCTTTTCTCTCCTATTTGCTTAGATTTCTGTCTACATGTTACTGTTCAATGCCCACATCTGCCAGTTCTCTACAACCATAATCAGTCTCATCAGGGTTCTACCAACTAGATTTTCTTGATGAAGTCTTTCTTGCTTCCTTCCAACTTACTCTAACCTGGACTGTTTGCCCTCTAGGCTGGGTTCACAGTTTCATCCCAGGGATTCCTTTCACCTTTCTCCCATTTCTTGTATTTCATACTTTCCTCATTCTTGATTGACTTCCTTGTTTGGTGTAACACACCTTTCAGTAGCTTCCTGAAAAAAGGAGCATGGCAGGTAATGTTTTTTGAGATCTTGGATAATTGAAAATATCTTTTATCTACCTCCTAACTTGGTTGATATTTTGGCTAGTTATAGGATTAAACCTCAGTGGTACTTTTCCTTCAGAATTTTAAAGGCAATGATACACTGTCTTCTATCTATCCACTGTTTTTGAAAAGTCTAAAGCCATGCTGATATCTGATCCTTTGACTACAATAACCTTTTTTTTTCCCCTAAAGCCTATAGACATTTCTCTGGGTTCTTTGTGTTCTGAAATATCATGATGAAGTATCCTGGTTTGGGTCTAATTTATCTATTTTATTGGGCTTTCTGAGAGCCCTGTCCCTTAGTTCTTGGAAATCTTAAATTATTTTATTTCTTCCCTGCTTCTTTTTACCCTTATCCATTCTTTTTCTGGAACTCTTGTTATTCACATCTATATGATCAAATATGGTAGCCACTATCCACATAACTCTAGTTCAATTTTTTTTTTAAGATTTTATTTATTTGAGAGAGAACAAGAATGACAGCATGAGCAGGGGGAGGGAGAGGGAGAAGCAGACTTGGGGCTTGATCCCAGGATCCTTGGATTATGACCTGAGCTGAAGGCATATGCTTAACCAACTGAGCCACCCAGGCACCCTGACTGGTCCAATTTGAGGTATCTTTAAGGGCAAATACACAATAGATTTTGAAGACTTAATATGAAAAAAGTAAAACATCAGTATTTTTATACTGATTACATGTTCAAATAACATTTCAGATATATTGGATATATAGGATACATAAATGCAGTTAATTTTGTTTCTCTACATTTTTACTGTGGCTAAAATTTTTTTAATAATTGTTTAATGTTTTAAGTAAAAACTGTATTTAAGTTGTACAATAAGATAATTTAATATATAGTGAAAATTATGACAGTAAAACTACTTAACAGAGCATCTCCTAACTTAGTTACCATTTTTGGGAGGAAGGGGGGTGAGAGGACCTGAAAATCTACTCCCTTAGCAAATTTCCAGTATTCAGTACAGTATTATAAACTATAGTCACCAATTTGTACGTTTCATCCTGACTGCAACTTTGTACCCTTTGACCAGCTCTTCCCCATTGCCTTCTCCCCTCAGCCCCTCCTAACCAAAATTCTACTCTATGCCTGTTTGTATTTGACTGTTTTTGGATTCTACATATAAGTAAGATAATGCAGTATTTGTCTCTCTGTGCCTGCCTTATTTTTTTTTTTAAGATTTTATTTATTTATCTGACAGAGAGAGATCACAAGTAGGCAGAGAGGCAGGCAGAGAGAGAGGAGGAAGCAGGCTCCCTGCTGAGCAGAGAGCCCGATGCGGGGCTCGATCCCAGGACCCCGAGATCATGACCTGAGCCAAAGGCAGCGGCTTAACCCACTGAGCCACCCAGGCGCCCCTGCCTTATTTCACTTAGTATGGTGTACTCCAGGTTCATCCACATCATTGCAAATGACAGGATTTCCTTCTTTTTAAAGGGTGAATAATATTCCATTATATGCATATATATACATACATATATGCCATAATATTCCAGTGTGTATGTGTCACACACAATATACTTTCTTTATCCATTTATCCACCAGGGGATATTCAGGGTGATTCCATATCTTGGCTACTATGAATAATGCTGCAATGAACATGGGAGTGCAGGTACCTCTTCATGATCTTAATTTCAGAGCTCTGATTTGAGATAGTGATATACGAAGATCCTGAACTGACTTCCTCCCACAGATAAACCAAATCAACAGCTATATATGGTGCAATTTCCTCTGAAAAGAACCATTAAAACTACCTGAGTGACTCCTACACAGTGGACAAACAAGAAAAACCCCACATCTATGTGGGTAGGACAGGCTGAGATACAATCTCACTCTAATTTCCACCTCTGTCATGGTGACCTGCAATCAGGAGGGAACTTAAACCTGAACTTCTTCCAAGGAGTTAAGGATTTGAATCTCACACTGGGCCCCATAACTTTTAGGACCTGCAACTAAAAGATGATTCCCTAAAACATCTAGCTCTGGAAACCAACAGAGCTTGTGTCCATGAGACTGACAAGGCTATAGTGAAGTGAGAAATGGCTCTTAAATGGCTTGTGTGCTTGGATTCACCCACCCCAAGGACCAGTGCAGAAGTAGCCAGTCAGCACACAGACTTTCTGTGAAAGAGACGCATTTCCTTATCTTAGATCCTTGGCCTATCAGCAGGCATCTAGTTTCACATCTAGGGGCCTGCCTGGGGTACTCTCTGGGAACAAAGGCTAGTGGATACCATCTTCACTTTCCCTCCTCTGCTGCACTACAGAGTGCCAGTATCTCCTGGAGGGAGATTTTACACACATCTGATGCCCCTGTTTTTATATCTGGAGCCCTGCCTGGTACTTGCAGCTGCCACCCAGTGGACACTCACTGATAGCCTGGTTCTTGTGGCCAGGGGCGGGGCTTGTGTTCCTGGGCCCCATGGGACTGTAACAATAGGAGACACAGTTCTTGGCAGGCTACTATATCCAGGGTACTGCACAGACAAGAAAGCCCCCAGGCTTTCTGTGAAAGAGAGCTATTTGCTTGTGTTGGAATTTTAGCCCAAAAGGCAGGTTTCAGGTTTGGCACACATTTAAAAGCTTATGGAGTTACTTTCACGGAATGGAGGCCAGTGGATGCCATCTTTGTGCTCTCCCTTTGTCTTGCTCTAGCTTGCTGGAATCTTTTAGAAAGGAGTGTATGCACTTACATGGTGCCCCAATTTTGGGGACTGCTTCCCAGGAGACACTTTGAGATTGCTTAGCTCGGACAGTCAGTGGGGCTTATACTTGTGGTCCCACATGACTGTATGTATATATGTGCATACTTTAAAAAGATGAAAACAAGTCCACATTTAGGTGCTGAGATCCTCCCCTTTAGGACACTGATAGCTCTTGGCACAACCTCAACTACTGGGAGCCATTTAAAATAAAATAGGATGCATGGACAATTTAAAGGTTTAAGAGGCTACAGCTAGGGCAGGGGTGGAATAATAAGATTCACTACTACACGATGCTGCTATTCAAGAGTTGGAGAGGTGACCATTTTATCTAATGCACAGTAACCAACAGAGTCAAGCAAAATGAATTAACAAAAAAATATGTTCTGAACTAAAAAACAAGATAAAATCTCAGAAAAAAAATCCTTAATAAAACTAAAATAATAAAGTGGGTATAGAGGGATTATACCTCCACATAATAAAGACCATATATGTAAGCCCACAGCTAACATCATCTTCAACGATGAAAAGTTGAAATTTTTCCTGTAAGATCTGGAACAAGACAAAATACCCACTTTCACCATTTGTATTCAAGATAGTACTGGAAGCCCTAGCCAGAGAAATTAGGCAAGAAAAAGAAATAAAAGACATCCAAATTGGAAATGGAAGAAGCAAAACTGTTAACTCTGAGATGACATTATATACAGAAAACCCTACAGACTCCACCAAAAACTGTTACAATTAATAAACTCTGTATAGTTGCAGGATACAAAAATCAATAGGAAGTAACAGAAAGGTAAATTAACAAGCCCATTTGCAGCTATATCCCAAATAATATAATACCTGGCAATTAATTTAACCAAGGAAGAAAAAGACCTGTACACTGAAAACCACAGGATACTGATGAAAGAAACTGAAGACGACTTGCATAAATGCAAAGATAGTTCATAGTTCATGTTCATGGATTGGAAGAATTAACATTGTTAATATTACTCAAAGCAATCTACAGATTTGGTACAATCCCTATAAAAATTCTAATAGCATTTTTTACAGAAAGAGAACAAACTGTCCTAAAATTTGTATGGAATGACAAAAGACCATGAATAGCCAAAACAATATTGAGCAGCAAGAAAAAAGCTGGAGACCTCATACCACTTGATTTCAAAATATACTACAAAACTACAGCAATCAAAACAGTGTGGTATTGGTATAGTAACAGACAGAACAATGACATAGAATAGACAGCCCAGAAATAAACCCATGCATATATGGTTAATTGATGTAGAACAAAGGAAGTCAAGGATATAAAATGGAGAAAGGATAGTTGCTTCAATAAATGTGCTGGAAAAACTGACAGCCACATGCCAAAGAAAGAAACTGGACCAGTATCTTACACTATACACAAAAATCAACTAAAAATGTATTAAAAACTTAAATATGGGGCACCTGGTTGGCTCACTTGGTTAAGTGTCTGCCTTTGGCTCACGTTATGATCCCAAGGTCCCAAGATCACGTCCTGTGTCAGGTTCCCTGCTCAGTAGGGAGTCCACCTCTCGCTCTCCTTCTGCTCCTCCCATGCTTGTGCTCTCTCTCTCTCTCAAATAAATGAATAAAAAATTTTTTTTTAAAAAAGATTTTATTTATTTGACATACAGAGATCACAAGTAGGCAGGGGCGGGGGAAGGAGGCTCCCTGCAGGGAGCCCGATGTGGGAC